TTTTTTTTTTTTTTTTACCTTATCTTTATCTGAACATTTCAATTTGTAATTTAGGAGAAAAGGGAATTGGCCCTAAAACTGGGAAAGCATTACACTACAAGGGATCCTTTTTCCACCGCATCATTAAAGGTTCCATGGCTCAGGTTTGTTTTGCTTTCATTATTTTGCATTTGCTTCTAAATCTTAGTTTCTCCGTTTACGGTGGCTGAGAAGCTGTATGTCTTTTAGTCAGTTGCTATTGTTTATGCTGTAGGAAACAGGGCTGATGGTCACGACTGCTTTTCTTGTGATATAGTTTTAAGGTTGTGCTTGCTAAGTTGTCTATCCTCAAAGCTTTACCATGTCGTGTCCAACCCAGTTTTGTAGAATAATCACCTCATTTTTCTTGCTTGTGGACTAACAGCTTGTGTTTGTTTTGCAGGGTGGTGATTTTGTGAGAAGAGATGGTATGCATTTATGCGCATGACCTCTTCATTTATGCAGTTGTGCAGCTATGGTTTTAAGGGATGGATTGTATTGTAGATAGTTTCTGTAGAAATGTGGAGGCAAATGGTTTGAGTGTATTTGGTGTTTCCTTTTTTTTTCTTTCTAGTTATATTATATCTGTTTTCCCCATTAAGTATATCTTTTATTTTTCAACAGTGGATAGGGTTGTCTGTGTCTCTCCTCCTTTTGATTGATGGTCAGATTTGCCTGTGAACTTGTGAAAATCACTGGTTATTGTATCATTTATTTTTGCAGGAACCAGTGGCGAAAGCATATATGAAGGGAAGTTTCCGGGTGAGGTTTTTTCTTTCAGTCTTTCCTGTTCTACTGTAAGGCCACCATACATAAGTTAGTCTGTATTAGAAGTGAATGGGAAGCGACATATTAGTTCTGAAAAAGTTTTTTAAATTCTATAGATTGCTAGAAATAATCTGAATGTTGTTTTTTTTTAAATTAAGTATCGTTATATATATACATTAGTATTTTTTTTTTTTAGGAGAATGTATATATAATTTTTTTTGTTAAGTAATATTTTTAGTTCTGAGGTCTTCAGAAATTATCAAATTGTCAGATTTTATTTTAATATATCAATTAAAAGATGAATCTGGATGCATTTCTTATTTGAACTTCTAAGGATTCCCTTGATCTTGTGGTGTTCCAACATTTTGTCACAATTAATGAATTAAAGTAATACCATCTCTCTAGCAAAGCTCTAATGATTCTATCATTTTGTGCTTATCAAACTTAATCTAGTAGTGCTGCTTTGATCATCGTTTCTTTGGAATTGGTTAATCATTTTCTCAAGAGAAAATGAAAAACAATTTCTTTTCTTGCACATTCTCAATCTATAAAAATGCATGTTGATTTTTTTTGTTCTTCATATTGAGCGACTGAGTTGTAGAAATTCATGATTATAATATTTATTCAGATGAATCACCAAAGCTAAAGCATGATGGTTCTGGTCTTCTATCAATGCCAATTTCTTATCGCGATTCCATTGGTTCCCAATTCATTATCACCTTAAGTGCTGCTCATCATCTTGACAGGTATTTCTATCTGTGGAATGCTGGTATATGATATATTCTGTTCAATAATGATCAATACTTGCTTTCTTAGTCTCTGTAATTGTGACATTTGGCAGAAAATCTGTAGTCTTTGGGAAGCTTGTCCAAGGTGATGAGGTCTTGAAGAAAATTGAAAATGTAGGTGATGAAGAGGGAATACCCATGGTAACGGTGAAAATAATTAATTGTGGTGAATTTACTGAAGGTAATGTTCATAGATCCCCTTTTGGTGAGTTGCATTTTCTGATTTTGAAACGAAATGTTCTTTTAATTTTTATTTTATATTCCTGCTTCCCATCATTATATTTACTCTGTGATCAAGGTGTGGGGCCTCGTGCTTGTTTCCTGATAATCTCACCTTTCAATTTTGTTATTTTATTCAGACAAAAAGAAAAATAGATCAAAAACTGGAAAAGATGCTTCTCCTGGTGCTAATAGTCATGAAGTAGGGAGAAAGGGGAAGCACAAGAAATCTTCAAGAGACAGAAGGAAAAAGAGAAGAAGATATTATTCCTCTGATTCAGAGAGTTCCTCAGATTCTGAGACAGAATCATCTGAGTCTGATACTAATTCTGACTCATCTCTTTCATTATCATCTGAAATCAGTTCTTCAAGTGATGACAGGCATAAAAAGAGAAAGAGGTCCTCTAAACGAGAAAAATATAGGCGTGGAAAAAGAAGAGATAGACGACGTGACAGAAAGCGAAAGAGACGTGACAAGAGATCCAAGCGCAGATCAAGAAGGTTGGATGCCAATGTTTGTTTACCTTTGATACCAGTAACTTTTGTGTCACACGATACTTAATTCAAATCCATAAGTTTTGAAAGCTTGTGAATGTAAGCCTTTAAGTCTGAATACTCTCTGTCATTTGCTATGTTGAATGAAGCTACCAATGATCTTTGTTATTCTGGTTGAGATGTGTTTGGTCATCCTTGTTCAGGCATGCATTGTACAAGACATTCTTCATAATGGTTTTTCTGTTTAGTGCATGCAGCAAAAGAAATTACAGTTGTTGTCTTAGTGGATCAAAATTTTCAGGGATTTGGGTTTTCTGCAATTTGAGTTCTATTTGGCAAATTAACTATATGAGTGATTGTTGAGCTATTTTTCTTTTCTTCATTCCTTTCAGATGCTGTTGATTGCTTAAATTGGCTCACCATTTTTTCATGAAATGTGATTGTCTAGATAACAACTTATGCTGTCTTCTTTCTTTTCAGGGCTTCTGATAGCTTGACAGATGATGACAGTGACAGTAAAAGTGATAGTACTGATGAAGATGCTGATGTGCAGGGAAAAGCTCGGAAGCATAAAGAACTTTCTCAGAAAACTGGTATGCATTGGTGTCATCCATCTGTGTGTCACTTATTTTTGAATGCATATTATGACTGCATAATTTAGCACTTAAGATGCTTTTGATTATGTTTTCTAGCCGAAACTAGGATTGAAAGCCGTTATTATTATTACTATTGTTATTATTATTATTTTGGTAATGATGGAAGACCTTTACTGTTTTACGTGGGTTTTTAATGTCTGTTTTGGACAGTAGAGGTGAAACCAGTGCAAAGCTAATTTGACAGCATTACCATTTTTATATTTATCAATCTTGTGCTATCTTCATTTGCCCGTCTTTCTCTCTCTTTTTTTCGCCCTTCATTCTTGTCTTTTAATTTTAGTAGGATGGAGTTACACGTACTTGATATCATTTATTCAGGCCTTAAACATAGGGCAGCATAATGGTGACTTGACATTATATCTTGATTTCTTTTATTACAGGTGGTAAGTTCATAATGCTTGGAGTTATGTATAGGCTGCTTGCCATCTCATAAATGTAGGAGAAATTAAGTCCTTAATTCAAGTGTTAATTGCAATTTTCCAGCTTTTTGTATTGATGCCCTGTTCTTGTAGTAACTTTATGCCTCAATTAAAATATATTTTTAATTAATTTTTTGTATGTTGAGCAGTTGTGAATCAATCTTCTTCAGCTGTAGAAGAAGAACCTGCCTCCCTTCGTCATAGAAACAGGGAGGAAACTAATATGCTTGAAAAGGAGGGTATTCTTCCCAAGGAAAATGGACAGCGGCAGAGCAATGGAATTGAAGAGAGTCAACCTGAAAGAAGTGCAAATAGGCAACCTGATGTTGTAGATGATCACCCTAGCAAATCTAGGTCTACTTTCCGTTCTTCTCACTGCTCAGTTGTTCTTTGTGCTTACCAGTTTTTCCCAATCTGTTTATTTATGCAAATTTGATAAGCAGGAGTCGGAGTCGGAGTCCTAAGAAGACCATAAGTAAGAGTATTAGTCCTGGACATAGTCCAAGCAAGAGCCAAAGTGTTAGCCCTAGGCGAAGTATGAGCAGGAGTCCAAGTGTGAGTAGAAGTCCTCCATGTGTGCCGCCGAGGAGTATCAGCAGGAGTCCTTTGAGATGCAGAAGCAGCATGAGCCCCACTAAAAGTGGCAGCCGGAGTCCACCAAGGAGCAGGAGTAGAAGTATCAGCAGGAGCCCAGCTAGAACTGTCAGCAGAAGTCCACCAAGGGGTAGGAGCCAAAGTATCAGCAGGAGCCCAGCTAGAGCACGATCTAGAAGAAATATTAGTGGCAGCCCTGTGAGATCCCTTTCTCGAAGAAGCCTAAGCAGGAGTCCACCTCACACATCATCAAGAAAATCAATTAGCCAAAGTCCTCCTAGGGTTTCAAGAAGAAGCACCAGTAGAAGTCCTATTAGATCTTCTCGGAGAAGCATAAGCAGAGGCTCTGGGAAGGCTCCTTCAAGAAAAAGTATCAGCAGAAGTCCAGGAAGGTTTACAAGCAGGAGTACTCGTCGTAGCTATTCAAGGAGTCCCAGCCTTCCACGAAGGCTAAGGTTGCCTCATGATCGAAGAAGTTTATCTAGAAGTGTTTCCCCTGATGAATCACCTAAGCGTATCAGAAGGGGTCGGGGTTTCAGTCAGCGTTACTCTTATGCACGGCGATACAGAACTCCCTCTCCAGATCGGTCTCCTGGGAGGCCCTATCGATATGGTGGGAGAAGTGATCGAGACAGGTATCTGAGCCAGATAAGATTTAGATTTTTTTGCCCATTAGTATTTCCCTTCTCGTGTACTTGGGATTCGAATTATTCTAATGAAACCATAGTTTTCTTAATTGATTATTGGGTTTTTCTGCTACTAAATGTCATTTCTAGGTACTTAAGTTACAGAAGGTATTCACCCAGGCGTTATAGAAGCCCACCACCAAGGGGAAGAACTCCTCCAAGGTGTGTATGCGTTAATCTTATATATGCTCTTTTATTTTTTCATTTTTGTATTAATGCTCTTCATTCTTTTTCTTGCCATTTTTTTCAAATTCATTTGGTATTTTGCTTCATGTGTTTGATTTTTATTACTTTCTTCCTAATCAAAAACCTCTGTGCAGATACAGAAGCAGAAGAAGCAGGACAAGAAGTCCATCTGTATCTCGCAGCCCAGTGTACCGCAGGCGTCGCCATAGCCGCAGCCTTAGTGGTAGCCGAAGCCCCATTCGTGGCCGATCACCAGTTGAGACTTCCAGACGGAATGCCTCTCCTAATGCAGGGAGGCAAAGGACACCTTCTCGGAGCAGGAGCCCATCTGGGTCAAGGTCATCGTTGGATTCCCAGTCTCCAAAACAGCCAACCAAAGCAAGATCAAAGTCCTCTTCTGGTAGTCCAGATGGCAAGAGGGGCCTAGTCTCCTACGAAGATGGTTCCCCCGACTCAGGCAGATGAAATGGTTAAATCCTGCAAGTATTGGTATTGTTTCCCAAGGCTTGTTGATCATCTCGTGTTTCTCTTGGCAAAATGGAGCGGTGGTTCACTAAAATTCTCTCTCTACTTCGTTCTTCCTAGAGGCAGTCGCTTGGTATGAAATAACCTTTAGCATATGTTTCAATGGTTCATATCATATTATGGACAAGATTTTCTGTATGTTAGTTCAGGTTTTAGAGCACCTTTTATTTATCCGTGAGGGATTTTCATTTTCCCAACTATAAAAATGCCAATATGGAGTGGATGCCTCGTGTGCAGCAGAATTTTCCTCCCCAAGAATTGAGATATTAAACTCCTATTTAAATTGGAAATTATTACTGTCATCTTTTTTTGTAATGGAAATTGAGATCATCTTCGACTTCTATCAGCGATTTAATTTTCTTATGTCATTGGTATTTCGCCTCAGGTAAGAACGAGATAAGTATAGGATTTTCCCATGTCAGTTCCTCGTTTGTAACCATCCACACCTTCTGATAAACAAGGAAATCTCAGAGCTTATGTGTGTCTGCATAAACTAAATCAATCTTGACAAACAAAACCTAAATTTGGTGAAAAAGTATTTAAGATTTCAAATTCGAGACTTGAGTTATTTTACAAGCTTCTTTCGAAGCTTCAATTATGCTTCCTTGATGGCGTAAGGATTATTTTTCCGATTTTAGATGCTGTGTGTCTAGTTTATTTTTTCCATTTAATTTCCACTAATGTCTACACAAAAAATCCCACAAACAATATGCTTTGGCTTGTGAACCGTAAAGTTCCAAATCTGTACGAAAAATTTCAATACATTAGAACTTTGCATAAATTAAACATATTAAGCATAAAATCGCATCGCACATCAGATATTGAGCATCATATGCAAGATCGATTAATTAATTAAAATCTAGAAAATGCTCGACACGAGGTGTCAATTATTCTAATTTCTTAGTATCATCTTCTTCTTGGAATCATTATTGGGCACTAATCTCTTCATTTAGTCAAAAAAGAAAAAGAAAATTTGTACTAAAACTAAATAAAGTAGCAGCATTGCATAGTATTTGGTTGTGTAAATCATTAAGAAAATGTAAATTATGGATGAAGTGTGATGCGGACCTGAACATAAAAGAATTTTCCCAACTCTCGGATGTATTTGGTAAAATTCGTTTTATATATTAAATTTAAAGTTTAAAATTTAAAAATTTTAAATTAATAATTAAAAAATTAATTTTTTAAAATACATTAAATTATTCTAGTTTCTTAGTATCATCTTCTTCTTGGAATCATTATTGGGCACTAATCTCTTCATTTAGTCAAAAAAGAAAAAGAAAATTTGTACTAAAATTAAATAAAGTGGCAGCATTGCATAGTATTTGGTTGTGTAAATCATTACGAAAATGTAATTTATGGATGAAGTGTGATGCGGACCTGAACATAAAA